GGGAAGGCCTGAATGTGGACTGTAGTCCATTGGGGATGATCTGGTTCCGTAGGCAAGTACTAAGAAAGGTGATGTGGCTGTAGTACCTGGTTTGCTTCAGGACATGGTCGAGCAGTTTCAAGGCCGAACAGATTACGAGAGAGTTGCAGTGGGAGAGAGATCCACTGAGGGTTGACCAGAGGGAGGAGGGTAACTTCTTCAGGGTAAGCATCCTTAGAAGAGGCTTCACAGTGGGGTTAAAATTCTATCAGAGATAGTAGGAACTGCAGATGCAGGAAAACCCGAGATAACAAGGTGTAGAGCTGGATGAACACACCAGGTCAAGCAGCATCACAGGAGCAGGAAGGCTGACGTTTCGGGCCTAGACCCTTCATCAGAAATGAGGGAGGGGAAGGATCTGTATCCCTCTGCTCCCTGCCCATTCATATATCTGTCTATCGTGCCCGCCTCTACCACCTCCGCTGGCAACGCATTCCAGGCACCCACCACCCTCTGCATAAAGAACTTTCCACGCATATCTCCCTTAAACTTTTCCCCTTTCACCTTGAATACAATTATTGCTAGCTATACGTGCATACTAACCTTCTGTGATGCATGCACTGGGACACTGAGATCTCTCTGCATATTGATGCTCTAATTTTCACCGTTTAGCTAATATGCTTCCTTACTGTTCTCTCTGCCAAATTGGGCAGTCCATTCTGACTTGAAAGTGATTCACCGCTCTGGTTACAAAAGAAGTAAATCTGCCTGTTCTTTGAATGCTGAAAATAGTATGCTTGCTGCTAGAGAACTACCAAATGATTTGCATTACTGTAAAAAAAACTATGCTTTAGTTCTTTTTCATTATTCACTATTTTAATAAGAAAGAAAACAAAACTTATCAGCTTAACCATCAACATATTTGATTTTGCCTTACTATCAAATCAACGCACTGCTACAGTAAAAAAAATCAACAGTGAGCAAGCGAATACAGCAAATATCAGGGGAATGTCTAGATGACAAAGTGAGCTACAGCCTGTTTCTTCAACTTTGTTCACATCTGTATTCTCACATAAACAATGAGCAGCCAGCCGATGGGGTTATTTCAAAATGGGCGACATTCAAGCCTGCCTCAGAACGGGAACAGTTTGTAAACGGTGACAATACAGCAATCCAGCTTCCTTGTACAAAATAAGAAGGAACTTGAGCAGCGGCTGCTACTTCCAACCAAGTAATCGTCAGATATAACATCTGAACCGAAGAAATTGACAGACCACAACAAACTGACCACGCTTAATTTAAGAAAGGCATGAGGACTGGGCTTCTGCCCCTTCCTGAATCAGGGCCGACAGTATTAGTATTGAGCCCCGGCCTCGCGTGTCTCTCAGCCGCAGGAAGGAGATCAGAGAGCCGGTGCCGCTGGAGACGCAGCCGCCGGTCCCTCCCCTCAGGACGTGGCCGTTTCGAAAAAAACACATCATGCACCCATCATCCTCCTTTCTCCACCCAGAGTCAAAAAGCAATAAACGTTAATACAGAAAGATACATCGAAACTGCTGCCACTTCCCACAAAACTTAAGAGTACATTTTATACGTAAACAAATCACTGAAGGCTTCATTACTAGGCAATGCGTGCAATCTGACAGACAGGGAAGGCATCTCCGGAGCAGTGTGATAGGGCAAAGGTTAGGCTGGCGCTGAAACTGATTAATGGAGTAGGGTCAATACAAGCACTTGGGCAAGAGATACCGAGCAGGTTCCACATCGGAACGAAGAAACAGGCACCAGTAGTCAGCATTTTTAGAAATACTGCACTTGCACTGGGTGACTCACTCGCTAAATCAGTGCTGCTGGGAGACCCATCAGGTACCACCACAATAGAATCTCAGAATCCCAATAGTGTGGAACAGACCATTCAGCCCATCAAGTCCACACTGATCTTCCAAACAGCATCCCACCCAGATCCACCCCTCTACCCTCTCCCTGTAAGCCTGCATTTCCCATGGCTAATCCACCTAACATGCACATCTCTGGCCTGTGGGAGGAAATCGGAGCATCAGGAGGAAATCTACCCAGACCCTGTGAGAATGTCTATGTGGAGTCTGCACACTGGTATCGAACCCGGGTGCCAGGTGCTGTGAGGCAGCTGTGCTACCTGCTGAGCCACCATCCAGGAGATCACTTGCTTTTGTTTCTAAACGAGCACAGACAATGCATTTAATAATGTTACATGTTATCAGCTGGCATCAGATGTGAAACCAAGTCTCCTGGCAATGAAACATTAACAAGAGAAAATACCCATTCCTTGCAATTGTAGCAGCACTAGATTTAGGATTGAGAGAATATTAATGACTTTCGTTGCCAAAAATCACTACTTTGGACAGTGAAAAGTGCTTGTTTTATTCGCTGAGTAGGCAGAGGATAGTTTTAGAGCACTGGTGAATACAAAATCATGGCCAAATAGTGACAGCTTGAGGTGTTAATTAACTTGAAATAACAGGAGGTATTGCTACATGAAGGGTCCTGCTTGGTTTGTCTAGAATGGAACAACTTTGGGGGAGGGAATTGGAATAGAATGGCTCTTGCTTAGAATGAACTAAACTAGGTGAGAGAAAATTTCACTGTGAAAAAGTGTAGACTACAATGCAGGAGAAGACAGACAAAATAGATGACAGTGGCGAAGGGGCATATAGAAGAATACGGAGAATCAAGAATGTAGAGTCAAAGGCTCAGACTAAGGGGCTGGTCACTTAGAATGGAGATGAGAAAACATAGAAATACAGAAAACAAAAGCAATTCAGCGAATCTAGCCCACTTCAATATGATCATGGCTGATCCTCCATCTGAGGGCCATGCTCCCACTATCGCCTCTTACCCATAATTTCATTCAAAGGCATGTGAATTTTTGGAGTTCTCTTCCTGAGAGCGCTGTGGATGCCAGTTAACAAGTACACCCACAAACTGAAAACAAGAAATGCTGGAGGTCACAGCAGGTCATACAGCATCCATGGAGAGAGCCCATGCTAATGTTTTGAATCTAGATGACTCTTCATCAGAACCGAACATTCACAAAGATCGCTGCTGATATTTTGAATGACAGATGAGAGAGGCTTGCAGATGCTCTACTGTTGAACACGTTTAGGTCTCGAGAGGCTGTAATGTTTATTTCTCCTATTTGTTAGGTTCTTATGCATTCACTACTTCACGATCCTCGAGCCCCAGCTTCATACCCTCAATGCCCAATCCTGTATTGCATCTTTCTGCTATTTGATCTGTCCCAGACGTTCCCCCCACCACCCCAGTCTTCCCCCTCCCCCCAGGCCCCAACCTCATCTTACATTCCCCCCCACCCCGATTACGCAGATTCCCATCTTGCCTGCTCCCCCTGCCCATTATCCTTCGCCCCCTCCCAGTCTTCCCTTTTCCCATCCCACCTCAACACCCTCGTCCCCTTCCTAATCAATAAATCCCAGCTCTCTTCCTCCCCCCCGCAAAATGCACCCAGTTCTCCCTTTACCCCCCATGACAGTGGAGGGCCAACCAGCTCTAGGGCGGGGTGGAAAGGCGAAACCACAAACAGAGATGGGGGAGTTGGGGCAGATGAATGATCCCACAAACCCCTCTCCCGCCCCCGAGTGGAATCTTCCCCCCAACGGCCGGGGCTCGCGGCCCGGGAGCCGTTAGTGTTTGAAAAGCTGGCGCCCAGGAGAGGCGGCCCCTGATTCATTCGGTATGAGGGCGGCGACAGACAGACAGAGAGAAGGAAAAACAACTTCACTTTCCCACTCCTCCCGATTGAATCGGGTGGACACTTCCACCAGTTCCCTCCCCTCCCCACCCCACCCCCAACTCTTTTACACAATAATTCCAAAGTTTGTGGTCTTCCTCACACTCCGGTCAGCGGGGGAGCGACTTTGCCCTCACGTCTTATCGTACCTCCGACACCATTCCTCCCCCGCCACGATCCGCCATCACTAACCTCCTACAGAATTTTATTTTGTTTATTTACGTCCTTCCACCGTCCTCATATTAAAAAAAATGCCCAGTTTCCCTCTTACCTCGGGACAAATCGAGCGGCACGTTCTCCTCCCCGCTGTCATTCCGCCCTGCGTGCATATTGTAAGTCAATATAAGAAGATATGTGCAGAGGAAAGAGAGAGAGAAAATACGATTAAGGATGGTTCAGTTAAGCTGGCGGGTAAGTCATACATTTTATTTCCATAAACAAACAACAGATTCGATGCGGTCGTTATTAAAGTGCGAGCGTCGTTAATTGCCGCTGCTGAGGGTTTTTTTTGTTCTGGTTATTGGTCTATGCCTTGCCGGCCGGGTCTGACGATTGAGGGTAATGTACCTCTGATGCGGAGGCTCCTAACGGAGCGGCCGCGAACGCTGACCGCCATGTTCACGGACTCTCGCCTCTCTGCCCGCCCGCCCGGCCTGGGGCCGCACAAAAACACCGGAAACGCCGGGCAGCTCTCGCGAGAGGACGGCCGGGCCCAGGCTCAATGAATGGGGAGGCGGGGTGGGGCGACGGGGTGGAGGGGCGGGTTTCCAGGGTTAGGGGTGGGTCTTGAGGAAGGGGGCGTGGTCCAGGGGCTGAGTGGTTTGGTTGGTTGGTGTCATGTGTGTTTGGATGGCGCTGTACCATAAACGTTAATTTGGCTTTCTCTTCACAGATTCTGTTAGACTTGCTGAGTTTTCCCAGCAGTTTATGGGTTTTGTCCCTGAGGGACGTTCGGGGTCTGGGGAAGAAGGAGAGTGGCTGATAAAGTGGGAAGGCAGCCAAAAGGGACAGCAGCAACATAGTTGGCAGAGGGGTCAGCTGTCAACCTTCACCAATGGAAGAACACATTTAATGTCAGGCTGAGTGGGTGCAGCAGAACAGCGCGATTAATGTGGAAGTTGGGTGTGTTATAGAAGAGCACAGTGAACAGGAGGGTGGGGCTGGCAAAAGAAAAGCATCCTGAATGTGGTGGGTGCAATGGAAGAGCCTGGTGAATGGGTGCGTGGGGGGTGGCTGCGTACAATGGAAGAGAAAAGTAAACGTGAAGCATGTAATAGAAGTGCACACTAAATGTTTCAGAGATAGTAGGAACTGCAGACGCTGGAGAATCTGAGATAACAAGGTGTAGAGCTGGAGGAACACAGGCCAAGCAGCATCAGAGGAGCAGGAAGGCTGACTTTTTGGGCCTAGAAGCCTAGAGGCCGGAAACGTCAGCCTTCCTGCTCCTCTGATGCTGCTTGGCCTGCTGTGTTCATCCAGCTCTACACCTTGTTATCTGCACACTAAATGTGGTTGGTGCAATGGAAGAGCACGATGAATGTAGCAATGTGGGGAGTGCATTGGAAGCGCACGGTGAATGTTATGTTGCAGTGGAAGAGCGCGGTGGATGGGGTGGCGCAGTGGAAGAGCGCGGTGGATGGGGTGGCGCAGTGGAAGAGCGCGGTGGATGGGGTGGCACAGTGGAAGAGTGTGGTGAAATGTGAGCAGGCAAGTAAGGAATTAGTAAAATGGTAATAGTAAAAGAGGAAAAAACCCTAGGAGTACATCAAAAATCAAGATAAGACATTATAAAGATAACAAAAAGACAAAACCTAACAACTCTGTTTCTGAATGCACATAGATTTGTAACAAAGTAAACAAATTTGTAGTGCACATTGAAGTTAATAAATACAATTTGATAGCCATTACAGAGACATGCCTGCATGATTACAATTTTGAAGAATATCTGACTTGCAAGAAGAGCAGAAACTCATTAGAGGTGATTTTCTGAAGAAGGGTCTAGACCTGAAATGTCAGCTTTCTTGCTCCTCCGATGCTGCTTGGCCTGCTGTGTTCATCCAGCTCTACACCTTGTTAACTCATTAAAGGTGGAAGGATGGCCTGATCAACAATGGTATTTGTGTAAAAATTAGAGATGACCTTAGTTCGGGAGATCAGGATGTAGAATCTGTTTGGATAGAGATGAAGAATAGGTTGGGGGAGGGGAGGAATCATTGAGAGTGATCTACAGGCCCCTAACAGTAAACACAATGTAGACCAAAGTAGTCAATGAAAAGTACTTAGGAATTGAGTCAAAAGGACAGCAATAATCATGTGTCACTTTAATCCACACTAACTGTTAAAAACAGATTGTTAGTAGTAATCTAGATAAGGAGTTTAAAGAGTGCTTTTGAGATAGTCCCTTAGGTTTTAGAACTGACAAGTCAGTAGACTATATAGACTTGGTACGGGAATCATTCTCCAATCTTCAAGAGATACAAGTGACCTACCAAAGGATTGAGGTTTGTGAATTTTGTGCCATTATTCAAAAAGGTTGTTTCAGATAATAAGCCAAATAGTCATAGACAGGTCAGTCTGACCTTTGGCGGGGAAATTACTAAAACCAATATTGAGAGATATTGTTACTTGGAAAGGCACTGATTAATTGGGGATAGTCTGCATGGTTTTGTTTAGATAAAGTTATGTCTTATTCTTTTAAAGAAAATGAATTAAGTTGGTAACAATGAAGATAGAGGGTTGCATGGACTTTAGTAAGACATTCAAGAAGGTCTCGTGGCAAGCTGATCAGAATCGGGCGGCATGGTGGCTTTAGTGGTTAGTGCTGCTCAGTGCCAGGGACCAGGGTTTGATTCCACCTTCGGGCGCCTGTCTGTGTGGAGTTTGCACGTTCTCCCTGTGTCTATGTGGGTTTCCTCCGGGTACTCCAGTTTCCTTCCACAGTCGAAAGATGTGCAGGCTAGGTGGATTGGCCATGCTAAATTGCCCATAGTGTTCAGGGATGTGTAGATGGATTACAGGGAAAGGGTCTGGGTGGGGCGCTCTCAGGGTTGGTGTGGACTTGTTGGGCCGAAGGGCCTGTTTCCACACTATAGGGATTTTATGATTCTATGAAAAATTAAAGTTTGTGCGATAAAGAGGAATATGGTGAGTTAGATCCTAAAGTGGCTTAGTGACAGGAAACAAAGGGTAATGGTTATCAGAGACAACAAGGTGCAGAGCTGGATGAACACAGCAGGCCAAGCAGCATCATAGGAGCAGTAAGGCTGACGTTTCGGGCCTAGACCCTTCATCAGAAAATCAGGTGGTTTTTGAGAATGTGTAAAAAAAAAAAAAATGTTGCCCCTCATGTCCTTCGTAAATCTTTCTTCTCTCACCTTAAAAATGTAACTCTTACTTTTGAACTACCCCAGCCTAGGGAAAAGACCCTTGCAATTCATCTTATTTGTGCTCCTCATGATTTATAAACCTCGATAAGATCACCCCTAAACCTCGATAAGATCACCCCTTAACCTCCTACACTTCAGTGAAAAAAGTCCCAGCCTACCTTTATAACTCAAACTCTCCATTCATGGCGACATACTGGTAAATCTTTTCCGATCCCTCTCCAATTTAATAATATGCTTCCTATACCAGGAGGACCAGAACTGTCTGGTAAAAAGAACAAAAGAGAAGTACAGCAAAGGAACAGGACCCTTTGGCCCTCCAAGCCTGTGCCAATCATCATGCCCTAACTAATCTAAAAAACAAACCTTCTGCCCTTATTCGGTCCGTATCCCTCTATTCCCTTCCTATTCATGTAACTATCCAGATGCCTTTTAAATGTCACCAACGTGCCCACTTCCATCACCTCTTCTGCAGTGTGTTCCAGGCTTCTACCACTCTCTGCATGGAAAAACTAGCCTTGCGCATCTCCCTTAAATTTTCCCCCTCTCACCTTGAACCTGTGCCCCCTCATAATTGAAACTTCAACCCTGGGAGAAAGCCTCTGACTATCCACCCTATCAATGCCTCTCATAATTTTGTAGATCTCTATCAGGTCTCCTCTCAGCTGCTGTCTTTCCAGTGAAAAACAATCCTAGTCTTTTGAACCATTCCTCATAGCCAATGCTGTCGAGACCAGGCAACATCCTGGTGAACCTTCTGTGTACTCCCTCCAAAGCTTCCACGTCCTTCTGCTACTGTGGCAACCAAAACTGCACATAACACACTACAATACCAATTCTGGTGTCATCGCTAAGTTACTAGCCATGTCTCCTAAATTCTCATTCAAACCATTTATATAAATGACAAACAAAAGTGCACCCAGTACCACGGGTCACATGTCTGAAAAACAACCTTCCACCACCTCTACCCTCTGTCCCCTACTCTAAAGCCAATATTGTATCCAATTGGCAAGCTCTTCCTGAATCCCATGTGATCTGCCTTTACTAATTCATCTACCATACAGAACCCTGTCAAAGGCCTTTCTAAAGTCCATGTAAAGAACATCTACTACTCTGCGCTAATTACTCTTTTTAGTTACTTCCTCAAAATACTCTATCAAATTTGTGAGACATGACTTCACTTGCACAAAGCCATGCTGACTATCCTTAATCAGTCCTTCCCACTCAAATGTATGTAAAGCCTATCTTTCAGAATTGCCTCTAACAACTTACCCACCCCTGATGTTAGACTCACAGGTCTAGAGTTCCAGGCTTCTATTTAAATAAAAGCACAACATTAGGCATCCTTCAGTCCTCTGGCAACTCACCCATGGTTACAGATGATACAGGTGTCTCTGCTAGGGGCCTGGCAATTTCTTGCCCAACTTCCCACAATGTCTTGATTAGGTCGCAGAGATTTCTCTACCTTTATGTTTTCTAAGACCCTCCAGCACTTCCTTTTCTCTAGTGTGAACTGTTTTCAAAACATCAATATTCATTTCCCCAAGTTCTCTAGCCTCCATTTCTTTCTCCACAGTAAAAACTGACATGAAATATTAATTTAGTATTTCTCCCATCTCCTGAGGTTCAACACATAGATGACGGCATTGATCTTTAAGGGGCCCTATTCTCTCCCTAGTTGCTGTTTTGCTCTTCATGTACTTGTAGGATCTCTTTGGATTATCCTTAACTTTATCTGTCAGGGCTATCACATATCTCCTTTTTGCCCTGCTGATTTTCCTCTTAAGAATGCCCCTACACCCTTTATATTCTTAAAGAGATTCATTTGATCCCAGTTGTCCATATATACTATATGACTCTTATCCTTGACCAGAATCTCAACATCTTTGTTCATCCATTATTCCCTACTCTTACCAGCCTTACCCTTCATTCTAACAAAAAATGTCTCTGAACTCTTGTTATCACACTTTTGAAAGCCTCCCACTTGTCAGGCATCGATTTACCTGTGAATAGTCTACTCCAACCAACTTTTTAAAGTTCACATCCCATACCGTCAACATTTGCCTTACTCCAATTAAGAGCTTTAACTTTTATGGAAGGCCTATCCTTTTCCATAACTATTTTAAAACCAATAGAATTACGATCTCTAGTCCCAAAGTATTCCCGTACTAACACTTAAGTCACTTGCCCTGCCTTATTTCCCAAGAGAAAGTCAATTTACATATTGATAAAGAAAATTATCTTGAAGGCATTTAACAAATTCCACACCTCCAAGCCCTTAACATTGACTGGGATTG